CTGGGACGCGTCACGAGTATCCTGGAGGAAGGACCCGACACTGTTGGGAGAAGAAGTGAAACTACTGGAGTGGGGAATCCCCAAACTCTGCGCCTCCCCAGTGCAGACAAGGCTCTCGGAGCCTGAGACCCTGAGAGCCGCGCCTGGGACCTGGGACTTCGTCCTGATCCCTCTTCTCCTACACCAAGCCTCTTTGTCACACTGTCTGCCTGAGTCCTGGACAAGGATCTGTCTGTGGAAACCAGGGAGAGACCCCCCAGGTTGCGCCCAACCCCTCCCCCTTCCCTACTCGTCCTGGAATCCTCGTCCCTGAACTGGACTCCCTGCCTCCCACTCCTTACCTCTCCCCTTGGACCTTTGTACAGGGAAACTCACCACGGGGAACTTCATGCCGGAGAGTGAGCTAGCCCTGAGAATGGAGGTGAAGAGACAGGGGTTTAGTCTCTAAATCTGGTGAAGTTTTGTCTGAAGGCACCACATAGAGATTCTCATAGAGACGAAGTTTCCTTTTTGTTTATTAATACAGTAGGTAGCACAATGTTGGTAATCCCTGAATGATTAGAAATCCAATTTGTAAAAGACCTGTGTCAAAACAGCATTACAAAGCTCCTAAGTTTTACTTTCCCAGACTATGAATCTGTGACTCTGGATTGTTGCATTTAAAATTACCTTCATTCCCTAGCCCGAGTTTCCCTGTGTGAGTCCAGAACGTCTGCTGAATACAAAGAAGCAGGGTTTGTTACTGTCTATTGCAACCGGGAGCCTGTAGTCATCACCTCAAAGTCGCGAGTGCTCCATGCAGACCCAATGCTCTTCACCGACGCTCAAGCACTGCCTGTTTTCCTGAACTATGCACATCTAAGCAGCGTGCATATTTTATCTGGACAGTTGGTATTTTTGTAACTCTTCTTTTTTTTTTAATCGTAAGGAGCCAATTAGTTTTTAGGAAGTCCAACAAAATGTATTGAATACCGAATGCAAAGAACCGCCTGCTAGGCTCTTCCCCTGCTTTAGAATTCTTTCCTCTGCTCCTTTTCCTCACCTCCTGCTTCCCTAGCCCTTCTCTCTGCCCTCATCCCTCACACCCTCCTCTCCCCTTAGTTCCCACCACCCAGTCACTCCTGAACTGTGGCACTGTAGAGAACAGTTTCTTTTCCCTAAAAACTTTCTTTATGCCCCTTTCTATTTAATCCTTGCCTCCCTCCCTCACCCCTTCC